TAACAGAATACAGAAATATTGTAAAATATTGCAACTATACCCCCACCCCCGGGCTCTAACAGAATACAGAAATATTGTAAAATATTGTTTAGAAAACACCAGGTGTGGTAATTTAGCCGATCTTCTTCATTTTATACAATATATAGTAATATACAACAACATACAACAAGTGTAATATTGTATCTGCAATACAATTGTAGAAAAGGGAGTACTGCAAAAGAATACTTTATAAATACTAACTTGAGAACCCAGAGTTACCCCGGGCGTTGCCCAGGGTACTGTAAATTACTCCCGCCGTTTACCCGCACATGGTCTTAAATTATGATTTTAACCATTTTTCCCTATAAAAGTTTACCCACTCAACTTAGAATCTTTAAACCAAGCTAAGGACATTCCTGTATTTCTTCCGAGTTCTCCAATAAATATTTGAGGCTAATGGGTCCAGGGGTTCATGAGTTTATGCCATGATACAGGGATTAGAAAATCAGAGTTTGTGGCAAAGACTCATTTCCTTTTAAAATATTTGTCCAGAATCATAATTCAAAATAAAGCTTTACAGTTATGAAGATGGTTGGATTCAAGCCCTAATATATTATTTGGAAATTCCTTATGATCATTCTTAAACAGTATTTACATTATTAGTTCACGTCTTTTACATTTTCCAAAGTTTCCTATGGTTCAAACATTAAATTTATTTTTAAATTCATTGAACGTTGGCATAAACTTAAAATAAATAGAAATTGCTGTTTTTCTTTCGAGATTTTGAAAATAAATAAACTTTTCCACAATTTATTTCTTTATGTATTTTTAGACTTTATATTATGTATCCTTTTTACACTTTATAAACGTTTTTTGTATCCCGTATTTGGTATTCAGTTTTAAGTGTTGTAGCCTGTATTAAGTTTTACTTGTTCTGCATCTTGCATCATGTATCTTGGATTTTGTATCTTGTATTTTGTATCCTGTATCCTGTATCTTGGATTCTGTATCTTGGATTCTGTATCCTGTATCTTGGATTCTGTATCCTGTATCTTGGATTCTGTATCCTGTATCTTGGATTCTGTATCCTGTATCTTGAATTCTGTATCCTGTATCTTGGATTCTGTATTCTGTATCTTGGATTCTGAATCCTGTATCTTGGATTCTGTATCCTGTATCTTGGATTCTGTATCCTGTATCTTGGATTCTGTATCCTGTATCTTGGATTCTTATCCTGTATCTTGTATCTTGTATCCTGTATCCTTTATCCTGTATCCTGTATCCTGTATCCTGTATCCTGTATCCTGTATCCTGTATCCTGTATCCTGTATCCTGTATCCTGAATCTTGTATCCTGTATTCTGTATCCTGTATCCTGTATCTTGGATTCTGTATCCTGTATCTTGGATTCTGTATCTTGTATCTTGTATCCTGTATCCTGTATCCTGTATCCTGAATCTTGTATCCTGTGTATCGGATCCCGAGGCTCCATGTAGCGCAACAGGCTCAAATTTTCCACTAGTTTTCTCCGAAAGGAAACCAGTGATGGTAGAAGTATGAAGGGGAGAAGGGGTGTGATATTATATTACTAATAATCATATATACCATTCCATTTGTATACATTCAACTGACACGGTACACACATTAAATATAGATTCTAGATCTATTTATCATTATCAGCTATCCTCCTTTCAGAAATATTTCACTT